TGGCAGGTCATTGAGAATGTAAGGAGGAAGACCTGGCCAGTGGCAGGTCACGGAGAATGTAAGGAGGAAGACCTGGCCAGTGGCAGGTCATTGAGAACGTAAGGCCTTGACCAAAGACCAAGAACACAATGAAGGACACTGTGAATGGTAAATGGTAAATGGATTGCATTTATATAGCGCATTTTTCCACTCCTTCGAGCACTCAACGGGCTTTACAGTTTGCCTCACATTCACATACACATTCACACACCGGGAGCAATTTGGGGTTCAGTGTCTTGCTCAAGGACACTTCAATGGGGTCAGGAGGACTCACACTGAATAATATTTAGTTTTCACTTTTAAAATTAGTTTACAATGGAGCTATAAATATTTTCAGCCATTACAATTAAGGTAAATTCACGAAGCTCTAAAATGCCTTTGCTAACACTTTACTTGAGGGGACACAAATACTTAGTAACTCAGTTAATACTGAATTACAAATCATGAACAAATATAGTTGCTGCTTGAGAGAAAAGATGTGTCACAGTTCATTAGTGATGAATAAACACGAGTTCAGTATTTACTGTAACTTGTGTTGTTCATTACTTGTTTGTTCAGTAGTTCCTTAGTAGTTCCCTAGAAATTCCTTCAGTAGTTCACAAAGGCTTACAGAATTAAGTAACAAATATAGTAATAGATAAAACCTGTCATGATTCGTTGATGAACATTAGATCAATATTTCACTCGTGTTATTCATTATTTGTTCCTTCAGTAGTCCATAAAGGTTTACAGAATTAACAGATAGAGTAACAAATATTGTACTTTCTTGAGAGAAAATATGTGTGACATATATGTGACATTAATGATGAACACACATAATATCAGTTTGTAACTAACACTTGGTTTGTGGTTAATTAATGCAAAAGTAATAGTGTAATACTACATTATTTGTGTCCCCTCAATTAAAGTGTTACAGTGTTTTTGATTTGAGGGTCATAGAAATGAGAAATGAAGTCCGGCATAACAACAGCAATGGAGGAGATTCAGCACTGACTACATGGAGCAGAGTACTAAGGTCCAGAGGAAGACAATAGAGGTCAACAGGGCAGGAGAGCAGGCTTGGGTTACCATCGAGGAAACCCTGATCTTCTGGACGGTGAACAGATCCACAGGATAGGAGGTAAGAAGGGAAGAAGGTGATTTTATTACTGCCCTTGGAATGGAAGACATACCATGCAAAATGCAAAGTGACCGCTTGCTCTCTGGCTTAAAAGGCAAATTCAAACACATGCCTGCCGCAGCATTGTTCCAAACCTCTCTCCTTCACACAGAACAGGTTTATGTTATACACCCATTATTTTATTGCATGGTAGTAAAGAAACTTGCGCCCAACCTGGTCCCTCCCACGAAACATCCACGCCCTGCCTTGTTTCACATATACTTAAGGAAGGCACCGGTAACAGGGACAGAGCTGAGGCTCAGAGGGACATACAGACCTGGATCACACGCTCAGCCTGCGGCGGTGTGGTCTGACTCACTCAGTCACTCATCCTCAGCCTGGGATCCTTCGAACAACCCCAGGCTGAATGTGAGAAGCAGACAAAAGACCATGAAATACCAGTTTTAATTTTTAGATTTTATTCTGGTCACATTTTAGAAACATGTTTGGGGGCGGCACGGTGGTGCAGTGCTTAACACTGTTGCCTCACGCCTCTGGGACCAGGGTTTGAGTCTCCACCATGGCTGCATGTGTGTGGAGTTTGCCTGTTCTCCCCTAGTCATCGTGGGGTTTCATCCAGGTATCCTGGCTTTCCAAAAACATGCTGATGTTAACTGGAGTTACCAAATTACCCGTAGGTGTGAATGGCGTGTGACTGTGCCCTGCGATGGGTTGGCACCCCATCCTGGGTTGTTCCCTGCCTTGTGCCCATAGCTTCTGAGATCAGCTCTGGCCCTCGGTGACCTTGAACAGGACAAGCAGCTACAGAAAATGGATGGATGGCATTCCAAGCTGGATTTTGGCTTATATATACGAGTTGTTGATCAGTAGATATTTATGGAATGACTTTGGGTTTATGGTTTCAAGTTCGGTTTTGTTTTTATGTTGATCTGTGCGTATTTTAATACGAATTGTCTATTGAAAGGCTTTCTTCTTCCGCTGCTCCAGGCTTTCTCTGAGCAGCTAAGCCACCGTCACTCCTTGACATATACGATATATGAATATGGTTCTCGCTGCTGCTGCGAACTCGGAAAACCGCGGCATTCGCTTCTCTGACAATCTAAGCGGCATTAACGTAAATGCACAAAAAAGGAGCCGCTGCTTTAATTGGCCAGCAGTTTGCATGAATCAACCCTAAATGCTCCTTTGTGCCCCCAGAACCTCCGAGGCTTCAGCTGTGCAGAAAAAAATTGGCAAAAGGCAGGAATCAGCGCATTGCATATGCCCACAACGTCCCCAGCAGAGCAAATTTCCTGCAGCCGGGCATTCCAAGTCGCTCGGGGATGCTGATTACCATTAAAAAATGTTCCCTCTTCTGCAATCTGTTTGCCTCTGTGCACGCCGGACGGTTGCCGAGCCTGGCCGCCGTCGACGCCATCTGCTCGTTGTCGGGACTCATCCCTGCCCGATGCGCACAGATATCAAGATAAAGATCGCTTGTCTCGCTTGATGAAGATGAATGTTTTTATCACCCAACAAGTCGGGCTTAACTGCACTCTGATGGTCTCCTTTGGGTGAAAAATGGGAGTTTTTTTTTTTCTCTCTGCGCCTCTTTAAAGGCCAAGGGGAAGGCTGAATGATTGCAGCCACACTGTCCCCTGGTGGACAGCTGGCATTACTGCGGGGAGCCAAGTCTCTCATTGAATAATCATGTGTGACAGTAAAGGGCAACGGTTTGCAAGCGCTTAAAATATGTTCACTCAGCGCTAAATGCCATCAGTTCAATAATGCGATTCACAAACTCATTACCTCATATTAAAATATATAATCCCAGTGCTATCACTTTAATATTTCCCAATTTCCAAAACTCAAAAGAACATCCTCATAGACCAGACATCCACTTGGGCTATATACTCATCGATCAGAAACTCTTTCCATCCCTAGAGTCTAGTTATGTTCTGCCGGCACTCCTATCTAGTTCACACTTGAGAAACATCCCCCCAGGAGCGGCCTGGAGCAGATCTTAGGAAGCAGAGGGCAAGACTGAGTCAGGGCAGAGTACCAGGCCACCGCAGGTCACACACTCAGCCCATACGGGCAGTTCAGAGGGACTCCTTGCCTTTTGGAACGTGCAATGTCTGCACAGACAGAACAAGGGACTAGAAGAGGATACATTAGAACATAAGAACATAAGAACTATACAAAGTTATCAAACAATATGACAACATCAATGCTGTGAAATATGGAAATCTGAAACTCACAGTGAGTTCCCCGTTATACAACCTGTAATGTGTGGTGTGTGGCTCTGTGCCCATCAGAAGGTCACCAGTTCCATTCCCATGACTAGCAGATGGATGTCTCTGTTGACCAAGGCCCTTAACTCTAACTGCCCTAAGCACACCCTCGACCCTGCTCTCACCGATAAATAATTTTGAATAAAAGTGTCTCCTAAATGAATTAACATACATCCAGTAGCCCTGATGGGTTTCGCACAGGTGCAATATTGCAGCGGAATGTGACTGTAACCAAAATGACTGGACTCTAATGAACAAGAAAAAGATAATAAAATAAATAAATAAAAGAATCAGGCAATTGCAAAGTTGTTCCGACCATATTATGAATTTGCACCTTTCTTGCCAACTGCAAATAGCATACAATTCTGTTGCCTGAAGTATTATTAACACTTATATTATAATAGGTCAGATCAAGACCTTACCCAGGAAAATTTCCAAAGTGGTTTTAGACACCAAGTTAGATGCAAAATTGCAGTGCAGCATCAGTGTGACATTTCAGAGGGGTGGGAAAAGTTGCCGGACATGTAATTGTTGTAGTGTCTAATCATGCTGCTAGCGATTTTTTTGCAACCAGCAGAACATATTGTGTTCAGTGGCACAAATATCACTTGAAGCAGTAACTTGTATCACCTCTCTTTAAAAAATTGTTCTCGAAAGGAAGAAAATGGAGATCTGTCCTCATTATGCCCATCTGTAGGCCCGGCCCCACCCACAGACACAGGCAAATAACAGCTACATTACACAGGCATGGGGACGCAGTGGGTTGGGATATCGGTCCCACTCCTCTTAAGCTGCAGGTATCAGAGCCCAGTTGCTTAGTTTCCTCCCAAAATGCAGGAGAGCCGGTGTCCCTAAAATATTTTCCGTGCCCTCTGATGGCCTGGCATCCTGCCCCCTTCTTGATGGGAGAGCCTCCAGTCCCACAGATGGAACATAGATGGGCCAGCAGGTAGCATGGTGATTAGGGACGTGAATGTAGGAACTGAAGGTTATTGGCTCAAGTCCCAGGAGGGGCACTGCTGTAGCCGCACAGGATGCTTGACCTATTTTTCTCACAAGTAATACAAGCAGCTGTATGAATGAGAAAACCGTAAAGCTACAAATCCTGGAAAACTGAAAAAAAACGAGCGATTGTCCTCCTCAGAGGTTTGAAAACAAACCCAGCAAATGAATCTGCTTTAATTAATGTGGCGTTTATTGACAGTGCGGCCATCTCTCTCCAGATTTAGCTAAATCTATCTCTGCCATCACACCTATGTAATCTTAACTCAGATAGGTAACACATACAAAAGTATAAAACATTGAAACAGAGATTTTTTAGTTGCAGCTTAATGATCTACTTTAGTTTATGGCTTATGAGGTTATTTACCATTTATGATGTCAGTGAAGGAATTGCTTCTTATTAAGCTTCTTCACTCTCTTCCTCTTCTTTTGAAGAAATGCTTCACTGTTTAACTTTACTCATCATATTTAATTATAGTGTGCAGGTTGTTTTGTGTGTGATGCATACTGAATAGTGTGATTGTATTTTTGTTATTATTTTTGGTGGGGTAGGAGTTTCCAGGATAAAAATTAGTATTAATCATTAAGTAGAATACAATACATTGAACATGAATTGTATGTTTTTATTCACAAGTGTTTTAATTTATTTTGCTGTTTATGGCACTTTGTGTGCTGTTTGCTGTGTCGTCCACGGAGAGCGACCTGCTGCTGTGGTCCATGGTGCTATAAAGTGATAGCATTTGACGTTTGTGAAATGTTACACTGTTTCTCGGGTGCTGAGTGGCTGCGTCTCACTGGTTTGTGTGGCCATCACAGGCAGGACAGTCCAGTGTAGCCCAGTGCCTTTGGCTGCAGCAATTGGTGCAGTCAAACTCCCCTTAAGTGATGAAAAACAAAACGTGCAACGCAAAACGTCCCTTAGCAGGTAGCGGGAGGCCGAACAAAGCGGCTAACTTTCTGTCAAATGCAGAAACGATGGCTTGAGGTGTTTATATTGCTGCTGATCTGCTTCCAGAATGCGGTTGGGAGATCCTCGCGTTTTGGGCTAAGTGACCCTAACATGGCTGCATATTCGTCCTGCACTCGACTCGCAAGATGAACCTGGAAGAGGCCGACTCCACAGTGTTTCGCAAAAAAATACGAAATAAACTGCTCAGGGAAGTCATTAATTAACGAGAATCAGTGCGGCATTCTGCCACGTTTTTTGGGGCTCTGTTTACACACCCTCGGATGAGAAACTGTATCCTTTGTAATTAATTCAGTCCCCGAGGAGATGAGATAAGGGGACTTTTTAAAATGACAAATCCGCAGAAGTCAGTGTCATTGACCTATTCACCACGCTGTCCGTCTCTCCAGACTCCACCACAAGGTAAGAAGTTGTCCTGGATAACTAGAGGTTATCAATTAATTCCGTTTAATAAATGATTTTTATTAGAAGTTTAATCATAAAAAAAAACAATAATACCTATCATCAAGTTCCCTTTCAGTGTTTTGTTATCGTGTTATAATGACTATAATGAATATTCTTAATGACATGCAGTCATAGCTGTTGATTTCACTGTCGATGCTACTGCACTTGCAAAAAGGTGTCAGCTTTGCTGGTTTATACCATTCCTAGGAATGATGTCATATTTCTTTACATAAAAACATGTTATTTTATGCCTCAATTCAATAAATGGAAAGTGTTTCAGCTGATCAAATGGCAAATAGAAGTTCTGGACTACTGTTTCCTGAATATGTTTATTTTAAAATATATATATATATAATACAGAGAATCCAATTTGTTTAAATGACTGCTCCATATTTATATGAGACACAGAAGGAAGATAACCAGATCTGGAATGTAATTTCTGAAGTTCCAGGAGTATGTTCTGTGAAACATAAAACCGATTCGGGAACTAAGCACGGATATTAAATTGGACTCGACAAAAGCGGTTGTTGGATACAAATTCTGTTCACACAGCAGCAGAGCCAAGGACCAAGCCTGATAAAAGGATTTTGGGATTTGTTCTTCATATGACATCAACATAAGCATCATGATCTCAGGCTTTGTTATGCTGGGAGTGTAATAAGTGAGGTTCTTGTTCAGTGGGCAGCTGTTAGCATGGATCAGTTAGCATGGGGGGGCAGAAGCTAGCATGACGGATAAGGATGTGGGACAGCATTTATCACGGTAGATGAGGGTATGGGGTATCGTTTAGCGTGGCGGACGGGGATTCAGGGCAGCATGGTGGACGAGGACACGGGTGCCGTGCGCGTGGCCTACGATAAAAGTGCCACGTTTTGAGATGCTAACTCAGGATCATGTGAAACCCCCCCCAACCCCCCAGCAGGCAGCTGACCATGCAGATGGAGGTCCGCGTGGTGCTGAAGGCGACAGGCTTCATCGGTCTGGTGGCGGTGGGCCTGCCGGCTAACTTGAGCGTGCTGTTACTCTTCTGTCGTCTGCACATGCTCCATAGCCGCCTCTCGCCCAACGACATCATCCTGGGCAACCTGGCCTCCGTCAACCTGGTCGTCTTGCTCAGCCGCGGCATCCCCCAGACCCTGGTCGCCCTGGGCATGCGGCGGCTCTTCGGCGACGTCAGCTGCAAGGTAAACATCTTCAGCTACCGCCTGGCCCGTGCCTTGTCCATCTGCATTACCGCACTACTGGGGTGTTACCAGTGTGTTGCCGTGGCGCCCTCCACACCGCACTGGGCCAAACTCAAGCGATGGCTCCCTACCCACATTCCCCATGCCATACTCCTCTTCTGTGCCATAAACTTCCTCGTCTCAAGCGGTAGCTACTTGTTCTCCGTGGCTCCTCCCGCCAACGGTTCCATCCCAGAGTACACCATCAACCTGGAGTTCTGCATCGTCATCTTCCCAGACCTGGCGGCCTACGTGGCCAACGGGGTGATGTACACCTTGAGGGACTTAGTCTTTGTCTGCGTGATGGTGGCTGCTGCTGCGTACATGTTGCTGGTGCTGTACCGGCACCGAAAGCAGGTGGAGGGGCTGAGGGGGGCAGGGAGGGCGTCGGCAGAAGCCTCCAAGGCTGTGCTGCTGCTGCTCTGCACCTACGTGTCGCTCTTCGGCCTGGACAACACCCTGTGGGCCTACACGCTCACCGTCTCCCGCGTCCCACCCGCCATTTCCGACGCACGCGTCTTCTTCGCCTCCTGTTACTCCGCCCTCAGCCCCGTGCTCATCATCGCCACCAACAGGAGGCTGGCTGAAGGCTTCAGGGGATGCTTCCAAACCAAGGGGGCTGCCAAAGCCCCCTCCACGCAGACAGAGTCCAGCACCACCCATGTGACAGGAGCATAGTCTGTCCCTATAGCTATTCTGTGGGGGTGGGGAATTCTGTAGAAATTGTTCAGATGTAGAGCTACGTGTGTCAATGTATCAGATATATCTATCAATTAATCAACGTTTGTTTGTGGGGGGAAAAAAATGCAATAAACCAGTAATCTCTGAAACGACATCCTGACAAAAACCCTCCCTAAGCATGTAAGCCTTTCAACTGTTTTTCGCAAAAATTAATTTCAAACACCTACAGAGAAAATGTACAAGAGAATAACAGAGTACATGTGTAAATAAGCAATGCATTATGAAACACAATTATTCAAAACTGTTTTGCACGCGAGTGAAGCTTTCCTCCAATTAAATGTCTATCAGGACAGCTTATCTAGCTCCTCTCAAGTTGGAGAGAACATAAATAAACAAAGTGTACAACATCAAGTTTGGGCTTGTAGATTAATTGGACCTGAAATAATTATCCTCTGTTTTTTTTTCCAGGAGCTGAAAGCTTTAATTGGCCACTTGTGTATTCTGCTGCTGCTCAGACTTCAGTAAACAGTAGCAGTAGATTGCGTTGGCTCCCCCTGCCCAGATATCCTCATCAAATCCGCACAGATCCTACCCCGTCCTCCCGCCGTCGTCTCATTCCATGTGCCAATGCGGATGCCAAGTGTCCAAGCTCGGCAGCACAAACGCAATGACAATTATGAGTTTTTTGTATTTTTTTTTCCTAGATCTGTGGCATGTTTGCCTTTTTTTTTTTTTATTCCCAGTTAGACAACATTTCAGAAACTTGTTTATGACAAGTGTCGCTCAGCCAATGTACTGCATAGAAAAACACACACACACAAGCCAATATACAAGTTTTAACACGAGCCACAGTTTTATAAATTGCTGAAGCTTATGTTGCACAGCGGAGAGAACACGGTGAAATTACAGAAAAGGTTACATGACAGTGACGTATAGAGATGATCAGAACCTCACTCTCCCAATGTCTGTTTGTAACACCCTTTAATTGATCCAAATTGGTTGTGAATCACTAATGATTGTGCGTGGCATTTTGTGCATGCTTACCCAACATATCTTGTAACAAACCCTTTTAGCCCTATCTTTATTAACAAATGGCTCTGTATTGCCGGTAATGATGCAGTAACAGTGGTCGTAGTTAGGTTATCACAGACTTTTTCTGTCTCCCATTAACAAACTCCCACATTATTACTGCTAATGGAGCAGTAAATGATCCCAGTGCTATTATCACAGATTTCCCATGAGCCTCTATGAACCTGATCCACACATTCCACAGGCCTCATTAAACAGTCCCCAGAAGAAGCCCTTCTTTTTACCTTTTAATCAAGTTATTGCACACAGTGGGGTTACACCATGGTTCATTGTGGGGGGGGGTCTCCTTTCAGCTCCCAGGACGGAGGATAGAATCGGGGCCCAGCTGTGCGGAGCCTGCTCCCCCCACGTTTGTTTTGGGAGTCCGTTAGCTCTCTCTGGTTACCCCATACAAACAGCCATGTGTGCACTGTAGAGATTGGGCAGCCCCACCCTGCCCCGCTGTGTCCCACGTGCCCAGTAGGCTGCTGACTGACCCTGCTGGTTATCAGAATCCATGCTGAATCAATAGAGTGCAAAAACCACCAAAGGCAAACACTCACAACCAAAAAATATATTGGTACCAGATACGTTCAATTCTAAAGTTAATGATAATGATTAAAATCCTTCCTAAAAACATATTAACAGAATGCCTGGGGCTGTCAGTGAGAATAAACTCAAAACTTCGTAACTAATAGTATTTTATAAGATATGTGTGATCGTGCACATGGGAGCAGCGAATGGAGGCCGACGGGATGGGAGACACACGCGGGAATCGAGCGGCACTTGTGTGGAAATGCATGCGGGTCAAACCTCACAGCACATCGTCCCATGGGGCTCATCTCCCAGTCATATTTCAGCACCAGGAGTCCAGCATCTACAATCTGTGAGCGTTTACGGATCCCCTTTGGCGTGAAAGTGGCTGCCGCGACAGACGGTGTGCCGAAAACAGGCGTGCGCTGGCAGGAGGACCTGCGCACCACCGCAACTGGGCACGGGGGGGGGCAAGGTGAATGAGGTCACAGGTAGGCTGACAGCCATGAGAGAGGCAAACCAGAGGGGGGGGAGCGGCCAACGGAGGCTCAAAACACGACAGTGTCTCCCAGTGCTCCCAATTTAAACCAACGACTGTTTCAGGCCCGGTAATTACCCAAGGTGCTGCACACATCCCCCTGGGAGGTGGGGGTGGGGGTGGGGGGGGGGGGGGGGCAGGACCCAGCTGCACTCCCAAAATAACTTTAAATGACTTCCCTAATAGCGTAGTAAGTGTAACGATGCAGAAAGAATAACAAAGTTGCTCCGGGGGGAGAGTGGGCCCATCACTATCCGCTCTGCGGTGACATGCCGCTTACGCATGCTGGGCGGCAAGCGTGTACAGAGGCTGCCATCTCATTGGTGTCGCATTTAATCATGTGTTTCTAAAGCTAGTCCGGGGTGTAATTATCTCTCTAATTAATTAATGACGCCCCGTCGATGGAACTGTTAACAAAAAATAAAAAAACAAACAAGCAAGCAAAAACCATCATAAGGGGACAATTCATAATGCTATAATTACTTATTATAATTACTAATCCTGTAGGGTTGATGGCAGAATTGGAGCAGAGTATAACATTTATTAATAATTTAGGATGGAAAATTCTGGAAGAGAAATTGCAGAATACAAGGTGTGGATTTAACAGTTTAATCTGCCATAGGTAATGTGTATGCGTGTGTTTGTGCATGTCTGTGTATGCGTGTGTTTGTGCATGTCTGTGTATGTGTGTATGTTTTCTCTGCTGACTCCTCTGTGTGTCTCCCCACTCGTAAATCCTACCTTTGATATAGACTTCCCTGCTTTTTCTTGATGTCGTGAGGCTGTGAATATCGCCACAATGGCCCTTGCATCTTCTGTGCCCATGTGGACATGTGAAGGTCACCAGACGAGATGTTATCTTCCATGCATGCCCAGTGGTTTATATTACCTGCTGGTTCTGGTAGGGTGCTGTGGGTAGCGTTTTTTTTTTTTTTTCTTCACATGACAAAAGCTGCCCCCCACCTTTTGCTCATTTGTGTTTACACCAGTGATCTCCCTTGTTTTCCTGGTGTGAACAAATCTTGTCCGTTCCCAAAGGGGCGAGCAAAACTATAAATTTTGGGATGTTGGCCGACGTCCGGAATTACGGCTCTCCCGCTCCAGTGGAAGGAGATGCTCTGATGTAAGATCTAGGCATTTTTTTTATGAGCTACCAAGTCTTTGTTGTCTGTCCAGGTGTAAATTCACCTTATTGCAGTTTCCCCGTATGCATCCGTGGTACCTACACCTCGCTGACTAATCGTGATTGTGTTTGACGTGGCAGGAGCCAGGATTGGGGCCATGGACCTGTGTCTGACCATCAAGGGGGTATCCTTTCTCCTCCAGGCAGGGCTGGGCATCTTGGGTAACCTCGTCGTGCTGTTGGCATACATCCACGTTGCGCTTGCCAAAGGCAGCCTTCAGCCGGTAGACCTGATTATGGGCCACCTGGCCTTTGCCAACTTGATGCTCCTGCTTACTCGCTGCGTCCCCCAGACCATGACGGTCTTCGGGCTGCACAACCTGCTGGACGACCCCGGCTGCAAGGTGGTGATTTACATCTACCGCATCACGCGCGCCCTCTCCGTGTGCGTCACCTGCATGCTGAGCGCCTTCCAGGCCGCCACCATCGCCCCCGCCAGCCCACGCTGGTCCGCCCTCAAGACCCGGCTGCCCCGGCTCATCCTGCCTGCCTCGGCGGGGCTGTGGCTCCTTAACATGATCGTGTGCATGGCGGCGCCATTGTTCTCCATCGCCCCGCGCAACGGAACCGTGCCGCCCTTCACGCTCAACCTGGGCTTCTGCCACGTCAACTTCCGTGACAACCTGTCGTACGTGGTCAACGGTGTGGCCATCTCCGTCCGTGACTTCCTCTTCGTGGGCCTCATGCTCTGGTCCAGCGGCTACATCCTTCTCCTCCTACACCGCCACAGTCGGCAGGTGCGGAGCATCCGTAGCTCCAGCCGGCGCACCCAGGGAGACACGGCGGAAACACGGGCGGCCAAGACCGTGGTGTCCCTGGTCACGCTCTACGCCATTTTCTTCGGCATCGACAACGTGATCTGGCTCTACATGCTGAGTGTGCCGCAGGTGCCCATTGTCATCGCCGACATGAGGGTCTTCTTCTCCTCCTGCTACGCCTCCTTCAGCCCCCTCCTCATCATCAACTCCACCAAGAAGATCAAAGCCAAGCTGGTATGCACCGCGGCCGAAGAGGATCAGTCGTCAGAGGCCTCTAGCAAGAAGAACACAACTTGACTGCTACACAGAACTACTCTTAGGTGGAGACCTTTTCTCAACCCTTCTAACGTACGTAAAACTCATTACCCAATTAGGAAATGGATTCTGGGAGCGCTTCTGCTTTCACAACCCAGCGAAATATGTTCAATCCATCCATCTTCCAATTGCTTACCAGTACAGGCTGACACTAAGTAAGAGAAAGGGAGGAAACACTGCGCTGAAATGCCATTATAAATATAAAATATATGTACAAAGAATTCATAAATACATCCCTATATACATTTCTACACAAAATATTTAATGCTGTTTTATAAGAATGTACAAAAATAGCTTGCAGGATATATATATATATATATATATATATATATATATATATATATATATATGAAATATAAAATGAATTAAACTAAAGATGTCTATTCCTTCAAAGGATTTGTGCTTATGACAATGACGGTTCAATGTGTGAATTTTATGAAAGTCGGACATATGTTTGTGGTCTATGGTGCATGTCTGAGAGTGAATGGGACTGTTACTAATTTGTATACTGAGATGACGATAGTAAATACTGTACTTCTGAGTATGGTTTACAGGCAGCTCCTGTGACATGCAGCTGACGTGGATGCGTGGCTGACTCAGGTGCTGTGAACCATTAAACCTGAGGAACCTCCTGAAAATATCAGTGTTTTAATTTCTTTCTCTTAACAGGATAATTTTTTATACACTTTATTGCTGAGTTGGTTTTAATGGGACGCGACCATTTTAACCTAACAAATAATAAATCTGGCAGTTCTGCATGCATGCAACCTACTTCATCGTCAACTGAATCAGTGCGCTTCCAGTTTTGGTCTAAGGGAGCATTTTTTATTTGAAAGGAGAGTGTTTTGTATTTCAGAAAGATTTGGTGTCTCGAATCTTTTTAGTGGATGGGTACGTTAAACACGTTACATTTCCCGTGTTAATAGTGACTAACCACTTGTCAAATTAGGAATAATAAATTCTTTTCTCTAGTGCTTTTGGGTAAAGTTGAATTTTGTTATAGCATTGCGTGAACACCTGCCTTGCGCCCGTAGCCTCCCGGATAGTCTCCGGTCCCCCGCTACCCTGAATAGGATAAGCGGTTGCAGAAATGGGATGGATGGATTTCGTGAATACTGTATGCCATCTAGTGGCCATAAAGTACCTAACAGTCTCCAAAAGGACACGACGGTCAAAAGGGTGATGCGTTGGCAGATTAGAATTACAAGGAATGCGGGGTAAGGATTAAAACAGCAACGCGCGCATTTAGTAAAGGACGGTTCCCAAAATAACTCGTCGCACATTTAATTCACTCCATACCTACTGGAAGACCTTATTGGTTCACAAGCCTGTTGCAAAAACATTATGTAAAGGTTACCAGAAGGCAGACAATCAGGTTTTGAGTTGTCTTTCAGTAACAGGGATAGAGAACACACTTGGCAATAGATTATTGTAAAATCAGATTGTGATATTCACAGAATGATTCAGCTACAGGGTGCAGCTTCAACTGCAGGGCCCAGGACAAGAATATGCTATGTGATGTTGATAAATGTTTTGCTAATAGAGTGTATTAGCTGGCAGTGGGAATCACACCTGCCTCACAGTTACAGACTCTCAGGCTCCACTTTGGTCCAAATCCTCAGTGCATGGATGCAGGACTGTGAATCAAAGGTTGACAGATTGCTTCTACGCCCACTGGGAACAGCTGCAGCTTCCCGAGATGATGTAAGAGGCATGGACAGTGAATCTGTTTCTATACCACATGCTACACACACTGCTGTGACATATTGTTAAGGGTCACACACACAAAATACAGTATAAAGGAGACCAAATATATTAAAAAAGTTTTCTAAAAATTCTAGCTTTTATTTTACACGTGCCTGTCCTGTCTCCTGGGATTCTCTATGATACATGCCATACATATTTTAACCTGGAGTGTGTCCTACACTGTTTATTTACAATGATATTATGCATGACCGCAAATGCATTATGTACAACCTAGTGTAGTCATTTCTAGAATGCTTATAATGTTTCTAGGTCTCATATTATAGGCCTTGAGGCATCCTTTTTGGGAAGGCGCTATATATATAGAAATCTAACCCGAACAGCAGTGGCGGAACCCCAGTCGCCATGACAACATCGTCAGCAGCTCTCAGTACAGATTAAACGGCAAGACAGCAATTACGATGCGTTACTTTTTATTATTTTGAGTAATATACAACTATAAGTAATACTCAGCATTTTAACGAAATGACACCAAGACCCCTTCCTATACACGACATAGGCAGCCGCCTAGGGAGCAAGACATCTGAGGGGGCGCCGACTTGCCTGGCAATTTCACTTTTGCCTCAAAGTGATGTTCGGCCAATGCGCCACATTGGCTATAACCGGCGCTGCCCATCCACAATGGATTTCCTAGTAATACGGATGAGAGGGAAAGTCCATGGAATCGATTTAAACTGCCCCTATTTATATATGGCCCTGCACAGGAGCCGGCGAGCAAAGTAGCAAGGGTCGGACTCCCATAAAACCCAGGTCAGCAATCAAGCTCAACTTTATCTTTCAACTATACTGTTCCCAGAGGGCAATCATCATCATCATCATCATCATCATCATCAGAGGCACCGTAATGGGGGAAGTTAGGACAACTCCAAGGGCCTCTGAATGACAGGGGCCCTAAAAAATTTTGAAAATAATTGGATTGTTCAGGACTGGGGGGCCCAATATGATATGCTTTCATGGGGCCAAAAATCTTTAGCAATGCCCCTAATAATAATAATAATAATAATAACAACAATAACAATAATAATAATTATTATTATTATTATACAGAAAGGACTAAGGGCACTGAAAACAGCATGAGAAGCAATAGTGTTGTCATTTCATCTCATAGCAGTTCTCATTAAAAATAAAAATTGCAGCGATTACAAAAAAATCATATACCATATACCAATCAGACTATTCATGCAATGGTAAAAGCCCCTAGTACAAATAATGTTCTAAAATAACACCGAAATAATCCGCCAAGTTACGGCTGGAAATGTTAACATTAAATTTATACTGACAAAAGTGACAGTCATGGCGGAGTCGGTATTAATAATCCACATTACAGAAATGTTACGGCGGCGCAGGAAAGCAGGAGCGGACGGGGGAGGCGGGTCTCACTAACCCGGAACAAGGAAGTACGCTGGGTCCCGTGGGTCGGTGCGGATTCTGTTGAACCGGTTCACCGGGGGACGCTCCCTTTGCAGCCTCCCGGGGCGAACCGACACCGGGAATAACCCCGCGACCGCTCATGGTTACCTAGTAGAGCGAACGAGCCGGTGAACTGGTTAGTTTTTACTGATTCGCACGGTTCTGTTGGTTTATTCAGCTGTGCGGATGCGCTGCAGGTGATTCCCGAACCCAGTCCAGCACTGCGGAGACGGAAAGCTCGAGTGTTTCGGATTAAATGCGACTGAATTAAAAAGGGTGCGGGGGTAATTTGATCAGACGCAAACAAGCGAAAGTGTTGGCATGCTGCCTGCTGTTCTGAACTGTTACAGATATGACTTGATCTTTGATGTGGAAACTGAGTGCGAAAAGACCGGCACGTTTCACTGGATCAGATTAGTTTTGATGGTTGAACAGATCACTAGGAGGTAAGTTTCACGTCCTTTGTTCGAAAAGTGTGAAGAGTTTGCAGGCCCGGGAATTGTTCCTGAAAGTGAGAAGTAACTCTAATCACTGTTTTCACGCACATAAAATAAATTTCCCAGGTGCCATTGCAAATTACGTACTGCATATTAAAGTATAATTTTCTGTACAAGTTTGCGGACGCAGATACACTGGGATTTGTAAAATACCTAGGAATTGTGCCTGCCTTTGTGTAAAGCTGAACGCAAAATCATACGCTGCAGTTTACGTTCATTTGTGACATCGTGTTTTTTTTTTTTTTTTTGCATAATTTCCCGTTGATGATTGCAATCTGCAGCTTTGCCTTGTGGTAACTACATTCTCTTGCTGTGACAGTCTGCGCCATTCTGGTGTCTGCAGTGAAATGACTTGACACCAGAGGTCCGAACAGAATCAAAAAGCAAGGATGGCAGGGATAGCCTGGTATCAAGAGAAGGTCAGACTTGGTGGGCCACACTAATGACGTTAAAGGTTTTGTAGTTTACTTTAACCAGAGAAGGGCAGGCACAGAATGGCTTTCAAAGTGTTTTTTTTTTTCTTAATGGCTGTTTGCACACAGATTGGAGCCTATGACCAGCAGGTCTGGGAAAAATCACTGGACCAAACAGAGCTAAAGGTGAGATTCTTGTTTTGTGGACACTAGCACTTGCGCAGCCTTTAACTATCATGGTTTGCCTAAATGCAACGACTAAGATGGCATTAAACTTTGGTTTGCAGGGTTTCGGCAACAAGCCAAAGAGGACGGGCCATATCAAGGCTGACCTTATTGACGTTGACTTAGTAAGAGGTGAGATCCGGACTGGGCTTGACAATGGTTTAGAACTGAAATTAAACAAAGTGAGGCAGTATTACGAAACCACCACAGGGTGGTTGGTGAAGTAATCTGTTTGCCTTGTGGGTGCTTTGGGTTTGCTAGAAGATACTGAGCTCACGGGCAACTGGGACCCTCTTTCAGGCTCAACCTTCAGCAAAGCCAAGCCTCAGAGTCCCTGGACAGCACTGACCCGGAAGGGTCTTGTAAGGGTCCTGCTCTTCCCACTTTTCTTCCAGTGGTGGACCCAAGTCACCTCACGGGGCATCTCCACATGGCTGTTGTTGCTGTACTTCTTGCAAGGTTTGTTGGTTATCGATTCTGTGCTGGGCATCTCAGGAACCCCCCCAAACACAATTCCTCCCTGAGTTCCTCCCTGCTTTTGTGCCCCATAGTGGCCGCCGTGATTGTGTACATGGTGGTTCCGGTGGCTGGCGTCAGCGAAGTGGTGGGGCCAGCATGCCTGATGCTACTACTAGGAACTGTGCACTGTCAGATCGTGTCCACGGAGTCCAGCAGGAGTCTGCTGGTCAGCCCCTCGGCCAACCTCGCCGGAAGTCCGACCCGCAGGAAGAGGTGGGACCCACCAGCCGACTGGACCTTTTGAAGGCGTAGAATCTGTGCAATGTGCTGTAATTCCTGAACGACTTCCTTTAGGCAGAGGA